TTTTGGATGGTTTGACAAATGATAAATTTGTAAATACCCAATTCTGACATTAAGACATGTTTCTTGAACGGCAAATCAGCATATTAGAATGATATCTGAAGGATCATATGACACTGAAGACTTGAGTAATGACTGCTAAAAAAATCACTTTGTCATCACAGGAATAAATGACATTTTATTGTATTCAAATACAAACACTTATTTTAAATTGTAATAATATTTCGCAATGTTACTGTTTTGCTGTATTTTTGATCAAATGAATGCAGCTTTGGTTAACAGAATTTCAAACAAAAATCTGTATAATTAAGTGTAGCATAATTATAGCATAATTATAATTCTGTTTATTTCACAGATTGAAAGGAGAAGATAATACAGTTATGAGAGAATATGTGCTGCCGGATTTCAGCTCTATCAAAAAGGGATTTTGCAAGGTAATCAATTGTATAACATTTAGTAAATACTGCAACCCTATTCTTGTGACCCTATTCCGGAATATGAAAAATAAAAACGCAATACTTGCTTTTGTACTCATCCAGCAATTTTTTATTCTTTATGTGCTGTAGCCTAGAGAGGAGATGAATTTTACTGGCAAATATAAAACTGGGGATCAGATTTTGCGGCTCACCAATGAGAGGTTTGCAGTGCCAGAGATGCTCTTTCACCCCTCTGACATTGGCATTCAGGAGATGGGCATACCTGAAGCTTTGGTCAACTCCATTAACAACATGCCAGAAGGTAGGTTGCCTCTCGTTTGATTATATGTGAGATTTTAAATGTTAATGCATTAAAAGTACTCTAACATAAGGCTCTTTTTGTGACCAGAGATGCAGCCCCACTTCTACAAGAACATTGTTCTTACTGGCGGCAACACCTTGTTCCCTGGATACAGAGATCGGGTTTACAAAGAGGTCCGGGCACTCGCTCCTGTAGAATATGAAGTTTCTGTCGTTCTGCCACAGAAGTATGTTTTGAGAGTTTTGAAAGAATGATTGACATATGTTCTTAACAATCTAGACTGAATATTTGTCTTTTGTTTTCAGTCCTATTTGTTACCCTTGGGAAGGAGGAAAGTTATTGGCTGAAAACCCTGACTTTGAAGAGATGGTGGTCACGCGAGAGGATTATGAGGAAAATGGACACTATGTATGCGAGGAGAAGTTTGATGTTTAACCTGCACATGAATTGTCTGTCATTTTGCACAGAAAATGTGAACCCTGTATGTGTTGTATGAAAACTAAGCTGTACATTACACTCAATATTACTCAAGTCAACATACCTTTTGACTTTAAATGTCATAATTTTGTTGTTCCCCCCCTTTTTATAGAACTCTTTGTATATGCATTATATTAAAATAATGTGAACTGGAGAAATAAAACTATTGTTGTTGTTTTTTGTACTTGTTTTGAATCCAATTAATTAAATAATAAATAATTTATGTTTAAGTTAAAGACTTGACTAGCCTAATATTTAATATTGTGAAGTGCCTCTTTGGGCATTCTTATGCAGCACGTGATCAGCGCGCTGTGAGTCATCCTCCCGCGCTCGAAATAAAAACAGCGGGAAACCGCTTCAGAGACGCGCGAGTTCAAACCGTCGTCCAACATTGTTGGTTTTTGTTCGTAAATAAATTCCAATATTTCATAATTTCTCTAAATACTTGCAAGGTAATAACATAGAGTAGTGCAAGTCATTACGCTCGGACAGTTTTCTAGACTGTCGTGATTGGTTCTAGAGAGATCACACCCACGCACACTCTCCTCAGGTAAGTTAACATACAGATGATTCCGTCGAGAACACAACCTTACTAGAAAGGAAGAATATATGTTTATGAAAGTATGTTTTATTTTTTAGTGAATAAAAATCGTTTTATATAATCTATGGTATCTGGTTTCAATCATTTTCACGTAGTGTTTTAATTATTTTAAAATAAGCTGAACGATATCATGATTGATCAATTATTTAATTTGTTTTACATGTTGGAGTTTGTATTTTGTTGCTGCTTATATTTAAATAGACCAGACTACAGCGAGATGGCAGCTTCCGGGAGAAAACAGAACAAGAAGACCAAGCACACTGACGGCTCCACAGACCTGAAGGCGTTTGACTTCGACACTCTGGAGGAAAAGAAAGGAAGTTTGTCTGACGATGATACCAGAGATGGTGTGTCTGTGTATTTTATCATGCCCATTATAAAAACATATTTGGTGGTAAGTACAGTGATGGCATTAGAGGCTATAGCATGATATTTACATGGTATTCCAAGGTAAGTTAATTAGAAATGTGAATTTATTAACAGTTATATTAAAGTATATATAATTTGCGAATTAATTTGAATTAATTATTTAATAATAGTCTATATATACACTTAACAAGTGATGTAGCTGTGAAGCTTGTTTGTATATTGTTCTCAATTTGTTACATTACATTAGAAACTCCAATCATTGAAAAGCTGACCAAGAAAAGATCTGCAGATACGTTTGAAGACGATGATCTTAATGCAGGTGTGGGGTAAGTACTGAAATATATACTCCTGGCTGAATTTATGAAGCCCTTTCTCTGAAAAGAAAAATCATTTGTTGTCCTTTATCTCAGGAATGAGGTTCAAACTATGCTGGAAAGATTTGGTGGTAAGTGAAGTTCACCACTGACACTTCAAAAATAATAGCTCATATTTCTGAATAAAGGGCCCTAAATGTTTGCTAAATGAATATAACCGGCTTTGAAATACTCATAAACAATGACTGAATGGCCATTTAGCGGACATCAGCAAGGCCATGCAGACCAAAAGGAAACACTTGGAGGTTCTCACCAAAATCTCCTTAAAGGGCAGCACTCAGAAACTGGAGCAAATGTGGAAAACTCAGCAGAATCAGAGGTGAATGAATGCACTGTATGGAAAATGACAATTTTTTCTTTGATGTTCAAACACATAAATGTTTTGTATTCTTTGCAGGCAGAAGCTGACACAAGATTATTCTCAGCAAGTTCTCTCTGTGCTTCAGCAGTGGGAGACCGACGTTCAGAAATCTGAGGAGCAGGAGGAGAAGCTGAATGTAAGTGGCAGACTTAGAAATATGTAGTAAAAAATAAAAAAAAAGATGTCATTTTGGGGCACGGCATCACACTAATGCCGAGTTCACACTGCACGATTTTAGCCCGATTTTTCACTCGCCGACAGCTTTTGCAAAATCGCCGACAAATGCCCCAAATCGGAGGCAAATCGGTGCTCGTTCACGTGAGTGACAATCACGCAGTGTGGATTATCAAAGACGAGATCTGAGGGAATCGCCGACACCTGCAAAATATTTGGCATGCTAAATATCTGGAGCTGTCGGCGATTCACAATCACGCTGTGTGAAATGAGTTCTGACTGAAAACTACATCGGCGATGACCTACAGCCAATGAGAGACCAAGATACAGGGCAGAGGGAAGTTCGGGGAGGAGTTATAGACCAGAATATCAGTATTTTAATAGATATATGAACAATTATATCATACAGAAACAAGCACAAACATTTGCTTGACCAGCCACAACATCAGCATAACAGTTAGTGCAAAATTATTTACCTCCTCTCTTTGCAGAACACCCAATCCCTGTTCCCTGCATCTCCCTCCTGCATAATCTGTTTTTCTTTTTCTCCTTGTAGCTGAAAATCAGCTCAGACAATTTGTGGGCTATATATATATATATATTTAGTTTTAATAATTACAGTCTTGCTGGAGAACTCCGGTCTGACGCACGCGGGTTCTTGCGTTATTTCCTTATCACTTCTCGCGTGTGTTTTGTTGTGAAACGTAGCTTGCGGACCAGTGTGAAAACAATGGCGATCCGACGAGTTTGAAAATCGTGCAGTGTGAACACAGCATAAGGGAGAGGAAATATTATAAGGATTAAGGGTCTTGTGAAAAATATAATGCAGCTTTTCAGGATATCTAGCAGCCATTTAGAGATATTTGACGTAAACGTCTCACACATGGCCTTTGAACTCCCTAATTTCTGTTTTCACAGATCTTGTTTCGCCAGCAGCAGAAGCTCTTCCAGCAGGCGAGGGTTGTGCAAAACCAGAAAATGAAAACCATCAAAGACCTGTATGAGCAGTTTGTCAAGGTCACCGATGCCATCATCACTTTAATGATTTGAAATTGAACCGAGACCTTTTTTTTTTCCATCATTTGGCTGACCGACTTAGGTCTTTAATTTGTGTGCAGAATATGGAGGAGATGGAGAAAAGCCATGAAGCCTTCCTGCAGGGCACCCAGATGGAGCTGAGAAAAGAGATGGCCCTGCTGCAGAAGAAAATAATGATGGACACGGTGAGTGCTTCAACAAAAAGATTTCACACAGTTTAGACTCTGGATGTTACAAATGTCTACTTTAAATAGCCCTTCAATGTGAAATGTGACGTATGCTACATTTAGAGTAGGTTTGGTTTAGTTATTGGAGCCCAATTATGAAAAACTGAAGGAATTTCTGTAAACAGTTCATAAAACCATTTGACACAAATTGCATATTCAGATCAATGTATGAATGGATTTATGATAATTGCATGTTTTATTTTTACAGCAACAACAGGAGATGGCCACTGTTCGGAAGTCCCTCCAATCCATGCTGTTCTGAAAACATCTTTCTGTTCTCACGTCAACACTGTAGAAGACTTAACCTTATGTTCTAAAAGGAAGGTTTCTTTTATTAAAAAAAGAATGTAGAAGTTGTCTCTGTATTTTTTGCCATCAGTTTGTTCATTTTAATCCATAATTGTATAATAATAATATGTAAATAATTTTATTCTTGTGTCAAGATTAAAGATCCCATAAATTCATTTTTCTTTTTTCTTTGGTGTTAAGGCATGTTTTTGAAAGTTTGGCTGGGACATACCAAAGTATTATTGTTATTATTATGCATTAATTTAGTTTTTCTTTACTTTTTCATTTGCTAGTTAATAGCAGATGGCATTAGAGGGTGGGATATTCTCAATATAGAGAGCATTTGATTGGACAAAAGCCTGTGTAGTGCAAGATGGGTCATCAATATTTTTGATTACCTTTCCCAGAAAAGACAGACTGAATTATTTCAAAGACAAAAATAATCCTCTAAATTTTTTCTTTTAAATTAGCATTTTTATCAGGCTCCTATGTTAAGATTCAGTCATTTCACTTTAATGGCAAAGAAAATGTTTATTAGTCAGTTATAGAATGCCTTATTTTCAAAAATTTCCAATTATATTTTCATAGGCGCCTGATAAAAATAATTTGAAAGAACAATCTCAGATGAATTTAGAGGTTTTTGCATCTCAAGTCATATATACTTGTGTGTGTGTGTATGTATGTATGTATGTGTATATATATATATATATATATAAACATAGTGACTTGCTATTAGAAGTAAACAAGGCTATTTCTTCATTTGAGAATAAGTAAAAATGTCAGGGTCCTTTAAATGCAAACCTAACGATCCTTGTGCCGGAAGTGGCGTAACCGGAAGACAAACCGACACTTCTATGGCGGTGTTTTCCACTGTGACTTCGCTATTCGCTGATGCGGTATCTAAGCGAAGATTTTTGCTTTTCGTAGTGGTATGTTTCGTAAAGATGGTGAGTAAAGTTACCGTATTTCAATTCCACAATAAAAACACGAAGTTTTTGTAAACTATGGCCATTTAGGCGATCTTAATGTAACGTGACTTGCTAACCGTTTACCAGCGTCTTCGATTAAACGTCGAATCCAACCGATCACAGATCAGTTTCACAGCTCAGTACTGTTGTTACCACAAACATACGCGGAGGATCGCGAATATGATGAACGCTTTTTAACTAGCAAAAGTCTGTACGTTTCAACATATCAATAAGATATGAAGTATAAAATATTTACATTTAAAGGGAGCGTAATTATGTCGCTTCACAGTCTTAATGCGCGTACAGAGGCTTTTATGTGTCCTCCTGTATTGTTTTCCTCTTCCCAGACTCATCTGCACACCGTCTGTCAGCTATAGCCAAAGTATATATACATTAAGCCGTAATCGAAGAGATGGATGACATCCAGGAGAGCTCAGAGCCAGGCAGTCCTCTGTACAGTCCCTGTGTGGAGCCAGACACACCGGATTCCCTGAATAATGCCTGTCTGTTGAATGACAGTGACCCCCTGTTTGAAGACCTTGGACACTTTCATCAATTTTCCTCCACTTTTGTTCCCGAGACCCCTAGGTACCATTTCTTTTGTAAATATTGATATGAATTATTTGTGTTTTTGCTATGTAGTAGTAAACAGTTCATAATAATGAGCAATGACAAGAATCTGTCCTCAATTTACAGCCCCTTGACTCAGAGAAGAAAACGTAATTTCCTGAAAGATAGCGACAGAAATGTGGTAAGAGAAAAAGGGCAGAATGCAATACTATATTGCAACTCTATTTCTGTATTATGCATGCAGTATACACAGTATAAGAATTTCCTGTGTGCACAGAATACTTGGTTGTCCTGCTATATTTCCTAAAATGTGCAGTATGCAACCAAGCATACTGTGGAATAGTTACCCATGATGCAGTGGGCTTGACCTTTCATTTCCAGTGCTTACAAGAAATCTCAAGTATTATGAAATGGAAGAACAATCACTTTTATATATTATATAATATGCCAAAAAACTATTATTTCTAAAACATAAGAAAGTGTTTTTATTAAAATTAACAATCTATATATATATATATATATATATATATATATATATATATATATATATATATATATGTGTGTGTATATATGCCTATATAAACCACTTACCATTTAGCACAATTATTTTAAAATAAAAAAATGCTAAATGATAATTTCATGAATTATATAAAATGCAAAATATCCTTTATCAAATTGAAAACAAATTACAATTTATGCAAAATAACAAATTGAGATGTTATGTAAAATACAAAATAACTATTTATTTATAACATTTAGCAAAATAATTTTACAATTAAAAATGCTAAATTATCATTTTATGTTTAATTTAAAACACAATTAACTGTTTGTTTGAGTGAAATAACATTTTACAATTAAAAATGCAAAATAACAATTCATTATATAAAAATGCAAAATAGCCAATCTTTTTGGTTGTTTTATTCTTAATTACTCATGTAATTTAATATGTAAACAGTGTAATAACTGCAATCTGAATTTATGTAATTAGTAGTACATAATACTGCAGTATACTATTTAAAAAAAAATTTAGTAAACAGTATGCTAACTACACTCCATAGTATGCCGATTTTAGAAAATATTCAGTTTTCTTGGAATTGTATTCATAAATGTTTTTATGCTTGGTTTAGGCAACATCATCCTGTTCAGATGGAAGAAAATGGGAAAGACATGAACACGTTCCAGGTTACCTTAGCACCACTCCAAGCTCCCAGAGAACGATGAAGCGGCGCAGGCTGGAGGACTCGAGCGCAAGCACGCTGTGTGGACACTCTTCCGTTACACCAGGAGCAAACGGATTTGTAATGGCCTCGTCTCTTTTACCCTCTGATTTTACATGGTTGGAGTCACCGCGTCCAACAACCTCCTCTGCTTCTCATGTTTCTGCATCCTCCAAACCCTCGTCCTCAGCTGGGTCTTCCACGTCTGCGCTGGATCAAACTAGTGATCCGGCATATTTAAATGAGCTGCTAGTAATGGGTCACCCCTCTAAGCAAAAGACACTAAACACCAGCAATGGAAGGGAACAGAGGTCCAAAAAGACCAAATCTAAAGCCTCTAAAAGTACATCAGCACACTCTTCTTTACACGCAATAGAGCATGAAGCTTCACTGCTGGATGCAGGTATGGATAAACAGATCCACGCGTTTATAGAAATAGTTAATGAAAATGTCCTCACCCTCAGACCAGCCAAGATCTAGATAAGTTTATTTGTTCATCTGAACAGATTTGGAGAAATGTAGCATTGCATCACTTGCTCACCAGTGGATCCTCTGTAGTGAATGGGTGCCGTCAGACTGAGAGTCCAAACAGCTGATTAAAAACATCACAAGTAATCCACACATCTCCAGTCCACAAGTTAACATCTTGTGATGTGAAAAGCTGCGTATTTGTAACAAACAAATCCATCATTAAGGTTTTCATTTTAAACCGTCGGTTTTCACTTTAGGTTTTAACTTTAAACTGTCATTTCCGGCTAAGATTCGACTCCTTTATCGATTAAAATTTTTCCAAATCTGTTCTGATGAAGAAACAAGCTAATCTGCATCTTGGATGGCCTGAGAGTGAGTACATTTTCAGCAAATTTAATTTTTGCTTGAACTCTGTCTTTAAATGTCAGGAGGGTATTGCTCAATGTCTTTTCTATAATACATTTTTTTTTTGCTTTATTTTTTTATAGCAAAGAGAATGCAGGAACCAGCAAGTTCACTTGTGTGTCCGATACCAGAAGATATTGTCATCATAGAGGAGGATGCTGATGATGTCGTGGTGGAGAGCATGGTTCGCTCCGTTCAGATGTCTGAGGATGAAGCGTATGCCAGAAGCCTTCAGGTACGAAGCTTCGCTCTCCTGATCCTTCCCCTGAAACAATAGAGAAGTGACTAACTCTGTTGTTCTGGTGTTTGCAGGAACAGTTTGATATGGAGGAGCGAATGGAGCAGCAGAGGCGACAGAGCAGATCGCCAAGCAGAAACAACCACATGGTCAGTTTGGGTTTTTGCTTTCTTTGGAGCACTGAATGATGGTGCTGTGATCATACTCAAACAAAAATGGATGGTTTCCTGCAGGTTGATCCGTATGTTGGCTTGGGCTGGATTCCTCCTTGGGCCTCAATGATCAACTCTGCACCTTTCTCACACGGACCCTCTGAGCTTTCAGAGCTGCAGCAGGTCATCTTTGGAGAGCAACCCCGTAAGTCACCATACATGAGCCAATCTCTGTCTTGATGATTTCTTTTGAATTAAAAGCAGGTTTTAATACATTTTAAAAATCATATTAGTATTAATTATATGTGTGTATCAGATATTAATTCTAATAAATATTAATTGGTTTGTAGATATTGTTTATCATTATAATATGCAATATATATAACTTAAAAAACATTACTAGATATTATACAACATATTCTATAGTATAATTGAAATTACAATAATTGTTATTTTTATATATTGTATAATAATAATAGTACATCATATTTGTAGTGCACCTTTCTTACACTCAAGGTGCTACAACATGGTAAAAAACATAACAATAAAATTACATAACAGTAAAATAGAAAAATAACACTTCACTCCAAATCACAAAAAAGAAAAAAAATATATATATTGTTATATAATAAAAAAGTATTTTATGCTCACCAAGACTGTATATGTTTAATCAAAAACTATAATATTGTGAAATATTATTATAATTTATGATGATTTAAAATTATATTTGAATATGTAAATGATTCATGTGATGCAAAGCTGAATTTTCAACAGCCATTACTCCAGTCTTCAGTGTCAGATGATCCTTCAAGAAATATGTCTTATTATTAATATTGAAAACAGTTCTGCTGCTCATTATTTTTGTGAAAACTGTGAAATATTTTTTCCGGATTCTTGCCATAAAAGAAAGCATTTATTTGAAATAAAAATCCTTTCTAACTATGTAAACGTCTTTGTCACTTTTGCATCCTTGCTTGAATAAAAGTATTAATTTATAAAAAATAAAAAAATAAAAAAAAACATCTTATCAAATGCAAACCTATACTGCATTCAAAATTGAAAAAAATTGGATTTTATATATGCATGTATGTGTGTGTGTGTGTGTGTGTGTATATATATATATATATATATATATATATATATGTTTATCCTCTTAATATAAATGAAGACTGACTTCATATAGTTAGTTGATATTAGGCAGATTGTATTGTCAATTTTAAGTCCAATGAATACTTTTCAATGTTGGTTAATTTATTTTTACAAAAAAAATTTGTAAAATACCTCAGCAGTTCAGACCAAACTTTGTCAATTGGCACTGATGTAGTCTGAAAATTTAGATATATTTTTTTTGTACAATAATGGGTACAATTAAGATTATTTTTTATATTGTAAAAAAAACTATACGAAAACACTGGGAGAAACGCTTTGGGTAATTTGATTTGACTCAGAACTTTGAAAATTACAAGAAGGGTTTGCTACAGTCAAGAAGAAGAAGTAGATTAGTGAATATGTATAATTGTTCATTTTGTTTTCATGGCATTTAAACTTAATTATGGATTTGGCCTGTAAAAGAGACAAATATACCAGCTGAATATAGAACTGCCGAACCATCTCCACCTGCAGATTGATAATGTCTCTATGACAAGTGTCCCTGAGGAAACAACAAAACAGTCATTAATGACTAAATGACTCTAAATCTGAATATTTATCTGATAGATAGATGTCTATCTATCTAGATAGTATCTAAATATGAATATATGGTTTAATTAGTAAAAATATTATGTGTGTGTAAACACACACACACATATACTATATATGTCTATGTACTGTATATACACACACAATATAGTGTTATTTTAGTATCATTGAGATAATACTGTAGATTTCATTAGTAATTTAAATTCTTTTTTTAAAATTTTAAATTTTTGTTGTGTTTTCATCATCTCTTTTGTCTTTTAGTGTTTACTCATTTTTATATCAGTTTTAGGTGTTTTCATTTAAGTTAAACTAAATGAAAACAAGAAATGATTCCTTGACATCTAACTGAAATACAATAACTTTATATATATTTTTTAAACTATAATAACCCTGATATATACACTACCGTTTAGTTTAATAGTTTTGGTTTAGTTTAAATCATTTTTTTCTTTTTTTTTTAAATAAATTACTACTTGTATTCATCAAGAAATCATTATATTGACCAAAAGTGACAAAGATATTTATCTTACAAAAGATTTCGATTTCATATGTTCTTTTGAACTTTCTATTTATTAAAGAACAAAGAAAAAATGTAGCAGTTTCTACAAAAAATTTAAGCAGCGCAACTGTTTTCAACTGATAATAATACAAAATGTTTCTTGAGCATCAAATTACCATATGTGACCCTGGAGCACAAAAGCAGTTTTAAGTTGCTGGGGTATATTTGTAGCAATAGCCAAAAAAACATTGTATGGGTCAAAATTATCGATTTTTCTTTTATGCCAAAAATCATTAGGATACTAAGTAAAGATCATGTTCAATGAAGATATTTTGTAAATTTCCAACCGTAAATATATAAAAACTTATTTTTTAGTTAGTTAGTTAGTTATAAGTTCTAAGAACTTCATTTGGACAACTTTTAAGGCGATTTTCTCAATATTTAGATTTTTTTGCACCCTCTGATTCCAGATCTCATTTAAAAAAAAATGTACCCTTATGACTGGTTTTGTGGTCCAGGGTCGTCATGTTAGAATGATTTCTGAAGGATCATGTGACACTGAAGACTGGAGTAATGATGCTGAAAATTCAGCTTTGTATCACAGGAATAAATTACATTTTAAAATATATAAAAATTTTAAATAGGGCTGTGCAATTAATCGCATGCGATTGTCATGCACATCTCGTCAGCAAAGCCGGTTCCGTGATTAGAAGTAAATCGCCATCACCTGCTTTCAGATGGAGCGGCCTTTACTACACAGAGTTCACTGACAAGCTCGGCAATATCGCGTTCATTATCGCAGATGAATCGCATTCGATTATGAACACGATATTGCCTAGCTTGTCAGGCAATATTGTCTTAATTGCACAGTCCTAATTGAAAACAGTCATTTTAAATTTAAATCAGTAACTCACCTGAAGTCCTCCAGTGCCTCATGGATCATATTACGGACAAAGTTCATCTGAATGGAGGTGAGCGGAGCTCCACGGCCCTCGGCTCCAGATTCGACTGCCGCCGCTGGAGCTTTAGATCAAAACATCCATCACTCACTTTGCCCCATTAAAGCGACTTTTAATCTAATCGTGGCCCATTCAAACACACCTGGTGCAGCTGCAGGAGGAGCTCTGCTGACCGGTGAATCATAGGTGAGCTGGGTGGGCAGATCTCTCCTCTGACCGGGCTCAGGGGTGTTGTACGTGTTCACAGACTGAACATGTGTGCTCTGAGCAGCAGGGGGTGTGCTAGTGACATCATACTCCTGCCGGAGACTGTTATTCTTCTCCACCTGTCGATAATCCAGATAAAAAATGTAATCTATAAATGCAAAAACATATCGGATTATAAATAAAGTGACCTTGTTGCCATTCTGTACATCAGTCTGTTGCGGTGGGGTAGTGATGGACTCCTCCTCTTTGATTGGTGGAGGAGTCTGAACCACAGACGGACTGTAGCAGCGACTGCCTGGAGTGCCCAATGGGGTCTTCCTCTGGGACGACCCACCAGCGAAATGAGGTAGGCATTCAAAGTCTAGTAACACAGAAAATGCTAATGTTGGTAAAAGTAAATGAAACCTTGTTGTTTTGTTGTTCTTATTACGCTCATTACTGTTGATTACAATGCAGTTTGTACAAACTGGCCTTTTTTCCCACTTGATACATCACTCAGTCTGTGCCCTTTGTAATCTAAAGAGATAATTAGCAAACAATTAGTGTGTAGATAGACAAATAGATTGATACAGTGCCGTGAAAAGGTTTTTGCCTCCTTCCTGTTTTTTAATTTTTTGCATATTTGTCACACTTAAAAGATTCAGATCATCAAACTAATTTGAATATTACACAAAGATAATGCAAGTAAACACAAAATGCAGTTTGTAAATGATGATTTCATTTATTAAGGGAAAAAAGCTTTTCAAACCTACCTGGCCCTACGTGAAAAATGAATTGCCCCCTCCTGTTAAATCATGAAAGAACTGATTAACCACATTATTTTAGAAAGCTGAGTTAAATTTCACTAGCCACACCCAGGCCTGATTACTGACAGACCTGTTGAATCAAGAAATCACTTAAATAGAACCTGTCTGACAAAGTGAAGCATGCTTAAAGAGCAACACATCATGCCACTGCTGACCAAAAAGAACACAAAGGCTTGTCTAATATTTGCCAAAAAATATCTTGATTATCCCCAAGACTTTTGGGCAAATATTCTGTGGACTGATGAGACAAAAGTTGAACCAACACAGCATTTCATAAAAAGAACATCATACTAACAGTCAAACAATGGTGGTGGTAGTGTGATGGTCTGGGGCTGCTTTGCAGCTTCAGGACCTGGACAACTTGCCATAATTGATGGAACCATGAATTCTGCACTCTATCAGAAAATCCTGAAGGAGAATGTCTAGAAGCTAAATGCAGAGAAGATCTTGATTAGGTGAAAACCGAAACCAAGCCATTCACACAGAATGCATATTCAGCGCATTTTTAGACGGACAAATATGACTGCTGCACTTGCGTCTCAGAGAAGAGATGTAGCCATGCAAAGTTAAAACAGTTTAAACTTTTAGAAAACACGTCGCAAATTTGTGGAGGTTTATTCCTTTTCACTGCGTCTCATATGTTTTTAAATGCAATCTGAGTGAATGGCGCTTCGGCTCTTTGGATTAAGCAATGCATAAATACATGATGCTGTTTTGTTCATAATTGTTTATGCAATTTACGAAATTATATTTGATTTATATGAGTTAATGTAGACGTAATGCACGTTTTTTTATAAACTTATTTCCTTGCGTTGACCATTTAAATGTGCTGCATTATTTTACTCATTGTGCCCTCGGGAGACAAGACAAAAGTTTCCTTAAGACCCATTTAATCTGCATATAAAACATTAGAAATTAGATATTTGTTACATTTTTATTGTGTGTTTGACTGTTAAAACAAAAATATTTGTTGTTTGTCTTAATAAATTGGGTTAATTTAAAAATACAGTGGTTAAATAATAAAAAAAAATTCTATTGCTCTTTGTTTTAAAAAAAAGGTTATAAAAAAATGTCAATAATTATCGATACCGAACGTAAACTCACCACATTTGGCCCATGGCCGAAGGGTTTGCTGGACAGGTTGGTTGTGATACTGTGGAGGATGATTTCTCCACTAGTGGAGCCAGATGCTATGTAGCTATCGCCTCCGTTAAAAGACACACATGTCACTTCCTCCTTGTGGTCCTACACAGAAAGAGACATTGATTAGGTTGCGGCTGTTTTGGGACATTTTTGTGGTTGTACTTTAGCTTCAAAGAAGAACATACTTCCAACAAACTTCCCACTGAATTTCCTTTGAAACTGTCAAATAAGCAATCTATATACATAAAAATGATTTTTAACCGTGTGCTACCTTAAGGCTTCGGTGCAACCTTTTTGTCTTTAGGTCCCAGATATTAACCGTGTTATCCAGTCCTCCGCTGACCAGGAACTGTGATGTGGAGTTCAGACTGACACGGGTTTGCTTTTTCTACAAACAAAAGTCCATTATAAGACATACATGACCTAGATATATTTAGATAGGACAGAAGATATCAAGGTGCTCAGCTCACCCCTTCACCCAGCTCCATCACTGGAACTGGAGATGACTTGAGACTGGACACCACCAGCTTGTCTCCTATACTGCTGGCACTGACCAGGTACTGATCTGAACACTGTCAAGGCAAACCCCTACAATAATAAATCAACTAAATCTGCGTAGGTGGCCTTAACCACTACGTACTTACATTTAAATTAATCATTTGATATAATGCACTTATTGTGTACATACATGTTTTTACATTGTACTTATAAAAAATACCTGCATGTAATTACATCTATAATTAATTTCTACAATTTCACTTATAGTTACACTGTTGACCCATGCCTTACACCTTTACCCAGCCTTAAAGCTACCCATACAAACCTGTCCCTAACCTTACCCATATATCCCACCTCAATAGCAGCAAAATTGTTTTGCAATATAATATGAACACAATAAATACATTGCACTTATCTTGTGATGTAAGTACATAGTAGTTAAGGCCACCGAATATAAAGTGGGACCAAATTCGCTATAATTAATGTAAATAAATATGCACCATGTTTGTCCAACTCAGGGGGTTTCCATCTTTTAGATGCCACGGACCCCTAAATATAATCATCCTCATGCAAGGGACCCCATCCTCGCGTAGGTGGCCTTAACCACTACGTACTTACATTTAAATTAATCATTTGATATAATGCACTTATTGTGTACATGTTTTTACATTGTACTTATATTTAAAAAATACCTGCATGTAATTACATCTATAATTAATTTCTACAATTTCACTTATAGTTACACTGTTGACCCATGCCTTACACCTTTACCCAGCCTTAAAGCTACCCATACAAACCTGTCCCTAACCTTACCCATATATCCCACCTCAATAGCAGCAAAATTGTTTTGCAATATAATATGAACACAATAAATACATTGCACTTATCTTGTGATGTAAGTACATAGTAGTTAAGGCCACCGAATATAAAGTGGGACCAAATTCGCTATAATTAATGTAAATAAATATGCACCATGTTTGTCCAACTCAGGGGGTTTCCATCTTTTAGATGCCACGGACCCCTAAATATAATCATCCTCATGCAAGGGACCCCATCCTAAAATTTTAAAAGCAGCTACATATTTTCATGTATAAAGAACATTTTAAATGATTTAAATTGGTATACTATGCAAATTGAAAATATTATTTGGAAAATATTTAGTTTCTATTAAGTAACATTACGTTTTCTTTTCTATTCACTATAATACTGTACTATGTCTTATTTATTTAACATTTATTTTAATCAAATTTATGTTATTTATTTAATTAATTAAATATAAATGTATTCTACTTGTTTAAATCTAATGATCGATTTCTTTCAATATAATTTTATTCATTTCGTTTTTTTTAAACACAATTACATTAATACAATTGTATTATTTTTATTTATTCTTTTTTATTTATATACATTTTATTATTACTCTTTTTTTTTTTACGTTATTATTACATTTTATCATTACTTTTCTCCAGAGTCAGAGAAATTGCACACTTCGCTTTGGTAAACATGGTTTTCCTCGGGAATATCTCTTCTAAAAGATGATACACACACATTATAAAGTCATATGTATATCATATATACAGTATGCATACTGGCATCACTGTGAGACACGTGAAAGATGCTCAGAATCCTAATGGAAATGGTTTAGAGTGATCTGACAGAGCTAGAGGATACTGCTGCTGCTCCAGCACACTTGAGCCACTGGATGCGTGGCACTGTGGGGGTTGAACTGCTCCAGCACCGTCATGGAGGTCGAGTCCCAGATCTTCAGGCAGTCACCTGACGACACCAGCCGCGTGACGTCCTCCATAGCAACGGCTGTCAGGAGACAAAAGATGGACAGCTGTCAGGCGCGCGACCCACTGTTTTCCACTATTGACAAGAATCCTGAATGCCTGTATAGGAATAACAGTTTCAAATAATCGTATAATATTGCACTTTAAAGCATTATTCTGTCACTTTTATGATTAGCAATTAATAACACATGTTGTATAGCCATAAGTTTATAATTGCATGGTATTATTCGTAGTCTGAATTATGCCTTTACAACTCTTAAAATATCCTTAGTGACTTGGACTAAGTTACATGCAAGTTAGCCAACTAGCAATGCAGCTAATACATGCAATCTTCTTTAACTTTAGAGCATAATCAAATTCTGTTGACTTACATAAAAGCGACTTTAACCGCTAATTCTGATCAATAACATTTGGAATAAATTCGTAATCCTCGTTAAAAGACTTTTACACTCTAATTCGCATTTATTTGTTGCTGTTCGTGATGTTGTGCTAATAGTTTCTGCATTCATCAGCTGATTAGCAACAGTTAGCTACTTACCCCTGGTTTAGACTATAAAAGTGAAGAAAAAACTGAAGGATATGCTGGTAAAAAAAAGGTCACAATACATCCACGCTGGTTGAATAAATGAGTCCTTTTATTAGAAAGTAAAACTTTGTTATATTAATAAAGTTTGAACATCCGTGGCTCCAGTAAGAAACCGCCACTACGGCGCGCCGCTGGGCTCAAAAACAGGAAATGTTCGGAATTACAAGCAAGCAGCAACGCCAGTGTGGGGAGGGCAAATACAGGTCATTGCGTTTATGTGTCAAAGTTTGCATTAATAAACACGCCTGATAAGGAATATGCGTTCAAATGCGTTTGTAGTGCTGTTAAATTCAAGTAAACAAAAGGTATTTTGCAATAAGACCAACAGAACACTGGCTAGAAGATGTTAATGCAGTGCACGTTCGGATTTATTTAAGGAAAGACAGAGAAAAAACTAAATCACTACAAGTAATTGAATGTTTTTGAGTGCCATTAAAAAAAGAAAAATAACTAATCAGTGTATGACCATATTGCATTAAAATGATCATACGTGACCCTGGACCTAACCAGTCATAAGGATACATTTTCTTGAAATTGAGATCTATACATAATCTGACAGCTGAATAAATAAGCTTTCCATTGATGTATGGTTTCTAAGGATAGGACACTATGTGGCTGAGATACAACTATTAGAAAATCACCTTTAAAATTGTCTAAATGAAGTCCTTAGCCATGCATATTACTAATCAAAAATTAAGTTTTGATATATTTACAAAATATCTTCATGGAACATGATCTTTACTTAATATCCTATATTATTGTCATAAAAGAAAAATCACCATACAATGTATTTTTGGATATTGCTACAAATACACCCCAGCGACTTAAGACTGGTTTTGTGCTCCATAGTAACATATACATTCATAGTGCACATATAAAGGATACTTAAGACTTTAATATAGCAGCATATTTATTTAACATTATAAGATTCATAAAAAATAATCTGATAAGGAATACAAGGCAGGCTACATGATTTTGCATAGTGATAATATAGATAAATATACAGCAAGGGCTCAGAAGTGCTTCACATATTAACCTTTATCAAATTATCAAAGTTTCAGAATCTCCAAAAACTGGAACAGTTCATGTTGTCCAGCTGCAGGGCCTTCCCGCCGTCACTGTGGCAGAGGTACAAGGACTTTGACGTAGTTCATGGGAAATAAGCCAGCCTCCCCTCTGATCATACCCTCACACCAGTTCTCATCGATCTGGCTGGTCAGAATGATGATGTCCCCCTCCTTAAAGCCCAGCTCTCCCTGGTTTCCTGGCTGGAAACTGTAAAGTGCCTGACAGCAAGGCTGGTCCAAGGGGGGGCCGCTATCATCTAGCACACAAGAAGAAAATACATTTTATTTATACAGCTTTTTTCCAAGGTTAAGGTCACTTTTAAGCAAAAAAAAAAAAATTACTGTTGCTGGTTGGCTTGTCTGTTGTTTGAGCTTTAATGGTGACTTTGTCAGGAGGGTGAACCACAACTGGTGCATCTGGTAAAGAAAGATTGAAAGACATTAGTAGCAAAGCAAGCTCGGGTACTTCCAGCTACCTTATAAAATAGCTGAGAGTTTGTGCATCACATTTAAAATGACTTACATTTTTCACTCAAAGCTTCAGTAACCTCAGTATCTGTAGTACATAATACAGCATTTAAACTAGCAGAGAATTCAGAAAGTTTCTGTTTAATGTAATCAAATGACTTAATATCACACCTGATGAGCATGTGGAAAATCCATAAATATCCGTGTAGCACACTGTGCTCGCAACTGATTTAGATGCAAATTCCCTTTTGGGTTGATTGCTTGCGTCTGTTATCCTGTATAGAGTGAAAAATAAACAGGCACATTAAATGAAACCAAGGTAAATAAGTACAGCTGAAATCATGATTCTAACCTGCTCTGCAAACTACTCCTGAGATTTTCGAGAATCTGGTGTGACTGGCGGTGGTAGTCCATTACTGCTTCTAAAAGCCGTGAGAGGTGTTGCATCTGTTGTACCTAAAACAAAAATGTCAAACAATCAAACTATTTATTTATGTCTGCAAAAATGTAAAAAAATGTAAACTAATACGCAAAAACAAATAATAAAATCATATATATGAATATACACACTAACTTACATCTCTCTCTAGGAGATTAAACATGCTTCTCTCAGCCAGGTCTTTGGATTCTTCAAACTTTTCGAATGCTTTCTTAATTTCAGAGTCTGCAATCTTGCCTTTACGCCTTTTCTTGTAATCAAAATCTAGACGGCGACCTTCAAGTTTTCTCAGATGATACTGATAACCAGAAAAATTCACTTCATTCACAACAAAATACATGTTATTTTTACTTTAAATGCTCAGAATACATACAAAATCCTACAATCACAACATTAAATACATCTACAAAATGACACTGCGGTTCAAAAGTTTGGGATCAGTAAGATTTTTAATGTTTTTTTTTTTTTTATAAGTTTCTTATGCTCATCAAGGCTGTATCTATTTGATCAAAAATACAAAAAAAACTGTACTTTTGTGAAATATTATTGCAATTTAAAATAACAGATTTCTATTTTAATATACTTTAAAATATAATTTATTCCTGTGAAGCAAAGCTGAATTTTCAGCATCATTACTCCAGTCTTCAGTGTCACATGATTTTTCAGAAATCATTCTAATATGCCGATTTATTATCAATGTTGGAATGTTGTGCTGCTTAATATTTTTTGTGAGCTGTGATACTTTTTTCAGGATTCATTGATAAATACAAAGTTAAAAAGAACAGTGTTTATTCAAAATAGAAATTTTGTGTTACAATATACACTACTATTCAAAGTTTGGGGACAGTACATTTTTTCTTTCTTTCTTTTTAAAGAAATTAATGCTTTTATTCAGCAAGGATTTGTTAAATGGATAAAAAGTGATAGATGGTAAAGACTTATATGGTTAGAAAAAAATTCTATATTGAACAAATGCTGCTATTTTTAACTTATTATTCATCAAATAAAAAAGTATCACAGGTTCCAAAAACAATATTAAGCAGCACAATAGTTTCAACATTGATAATAAATCAGCATATTAGAATGATTTCTAAAGGATCATATCACACTGAAGACTGGGGTAATGATGCTGAAAACTCAGCACTGCATCACAGAAATAAATTATATTTTAAAGTATATTAAAATAGAAAACCAATATTAGAAATTGCAATAATATTTCACAATATTACTGTTTTTTTCTGTATTTACAGCCTTGATGAACATAACAGACTCCATTAAAAAAACATGAAAAATCGTACTGATTCCAAACTTTTGAAGGGCAGTGTATATCAAGCCCAATTACAACATACAGACTGACCGCAATTTCCTTCAGCTCTTTGTGCTGCAGGGACTGCAGAGGATCAATGAAGGTTCGTTTCACTCGGACATCCATGCAGTCTTTTGCCTGGGCTACTTGTTTCAGCGCCTCTCCCATTTCAAGCAGAGCAAAACCTACAATTGTAGTAAAACTCAAAACTGGTATTTTGACATTTTTAAAGCAGTAAAAAATACCCATTGTGTTTCTTTTGTCTTAAACATACCAAAACCAGACTCAGCTCCAAGCTCATTGCCATAGCACAGCATGCAATCTCCCAGAATGCCCTCTGTCTGAGGATATCCCACAGACTTCACCTGCCCACGGATTTTGGACACTGTACTGAGCATGTTGAGCTTTGCTCTGTATGCTTGAAGAACAAAAAGAGAAAAAGAGAATCAATGAAATATAACAACAACAAATTAAATATTGTAACAAATATTATAATATAGCTTCGATAATACACAATTATAATAAATAGCATATCTTGTAAATCTTGTAATAAATAAATATTATTAAATATAATACCTGGGTTTGGCTGAAGATATCCTATAGTTTTTGGAACAAGGTCGAGAATCACTTTGTGGGTAATATCAGTTTTCTACAATAAAACAATCAATAAAAAAGAAAAACAAAAAATACTTTTTTGATGCATTGAGATCTTTAAAATGTCTAATCTTGTTTCTTTATTTGGCTGAGATTGATATTTATACCCTCTCCATGTTGAGGAATTCCTCATCCAGTTTTGTTCCCTCAACTCCATTGATCTTTTCCTTTAGCAACTGTAAGGATAATCAAAGAGGGGGAAAAAATAATATCACTTATTGTTGAGTGGGCTTGACAAAAAAAAGTTTATGCAATAAGTTGATCTGATTCAATATACAGTTCAGATGAACATTTGACTATTTTGATTACAATATTAGGGGCAATACAGAAAGTGATCATAATTACCTTCATAGTTTAATTGAAATTTTACACAATATGATAATGAGTGGCTAATCCGATCACAACACAATCCAATGTCCACAACATTTCCAAACAAACCCCGGAAATCCACAAGCCTCGCCATTTTTAACATATTGTGATGATTGAGCATATGTTTCCTGTGGTTCATAAGCCAAACTGTGTATGAAGGTCAGTCGTTTGGCCAATGCGTCCAAAACACTAAGAGGATTCAGACCGCCATGAATGAATCGAAAGAATGTGACCTTGGAAACTTTTTAATAAACATACTTTGGTGGCTTGGGGACCTAGAAACTTTCACTAATACAAAAACTCCAGGAGTCAATGATCAGGCTTTATTATAAATTCCAGGGGTTAGGGTTAGGTTTTTTATTATCCACAATAAACTTGATATGAACAAAAACAATAGACTAGCAGATAGTAAGTGGACTTTGGTTCCAAGATACAGACAACACCCATGTTCATGTGTCTCACACTAGTTTTCATTTTAGCACATCCAGCCTTCAAACCTCTGCAGTAACACTTATTCAGAAATACAAGGTGAGAAGGACATGTCTGATTACATAATTTGGGTGCGGAGAAGCACAGTTCTAATGTGGAACTACAGCACTTAAACCTTTACTTTATAAACAGGAACAAAACATTTACACAATCTAATGCACTGTAATTTTTAGCTTGGCAATTCATCATTAACTGGGCCACCATATCAGGTCACACACGGTTGACTGCAGTTGCTCTAGATCTGGCGAACAGAGAAAGATTGCAATGAAGTGAGGAAAAGTCTGATTAATGTCTGAGAATCGGTTCTTTTGAACACATCGTTTCAAAGAATCGGTTCAAAGAAACAGACTCGGCGATTCTTTACGTCGCGAGGTAATTGCGTCATGGCACATATCGCTAACATTTGAACGACATAATTTTAAGGGTGTTGCAATTTAAAATATGTCCCAGTTTGTTCCTTCCATGCAGTTTAGTTCATTTACAACGGAAATATACAATACTAAACTTCACATCTCTGAAAACGTTTTGTATTTTTTTAATAAAATGCACCTCTTTAAAACCAGCTGTTTTGTATGTGTCAAGTAGTAAACAAAAATAGTTTGTACATTTGATCTCTTCTCGATACAGTTCTTGGTTCAATGAATCGATGAGCTGTTCACTCGAGAACCACCCGGACCGGTGATTTAAATTCATCCTTCTCTGATGTTGTCAATTTTGTTTTGTTGATGGGTAAATATCATATTTCCGCGATTCTTTACGTCGCGAGGTAATTGCGTCATGGCACATATCGCTAACATTTGAACGACATAATTTTAAGGGTGTTGCAATTTAAAATATGTCCCAGTTTGTTGCTGCCATGCAGTTTAGTTCATTTACAACGGAAATATACAATACTAAACTTCACATCTCTGAAAACGTTTTGTATTTTTTTTAATAAAACGCACCTCTTTAAAACCAGCTGTTTTGTATGTGTCAAGTAGTAAACAAAAATAGTTTGTACATTTGATCTCTTCTCGATACAGTTCTTGGTTCAATGAATCGATGAGCTGTTCACTCGAGAACCACCCGGACCGGTGATTTAAATTCATCCTTCTCTGATGTTGTCAATTTTGTTTTGTTGATGGGTAAATATCATATCCATACTTGTAAATGGAAAAAAGTAAACCCTCCTTCACTATATTTTTATTTGAGTTTGCTAAAATGTTTCAGAGCTTCAAATGCTTCAAAAAACATAATAGAAAATCTGAAAAGTTATGCTTCTCTTTGTCAGATTTATTACTTTAGTATATTTTTTCTTTATAATGTCTACATCGACTACATCTTTGTTTTCATCCTTGATCCTTGTGTTGTTTATATATATATTTTTTTTTCTTCTTTTTTTTCTCTTCTTCTTTAATGTAAACTCTGTGATTGTCTCAATGGAAGTGTCTTGCATTGTTGGTTGTTCCCTGTCTTGTTATGTACATTAAGCAATAAAAAAAATAAAAAATAAAATAAAATAAAAACCACCCGGACCGATTCACCATTTGGTTCACCTGATTCACTGAAAAGATTCGACTCAAAAAAACAGTTCGTTCACGAATCCGCACACTGCCGTTACAACATCCAAGCAGCCAACAAACGCGGTATGTCACAAAAGTAAAAGAACTCTTTAAAAGTGCGATTTAAAGCGCAGTTATGTTTATGTACTGTTAGTAGGCTATCATTTTAAAGAAATGACTCGATCACTGAATGAAATCTTGTTTGCCTCGTGACACAAAATCAAGCTTCGTTTTACCTGACTTGCTTTGTGAAACTGTTTCTTCAGTCCGGCCACTGACATTCTTGTCCGCGTTCGTCCTCAAATGTTTCACATGAACAATCGTGTCGGGATGATTGAGTCTGTGTACTATCTCCACATTGCTCTCCACCCTCTTCCGTCCGTCGCAATGCATACTGTTATTTTGCACCTTGGGACATTGCCCAGATTTGATTGGTGGGGCAGTGCTGAGATCCTGCAGCTATGACGGTCCTAGAGGTCACTCATCGGTACAGGCGTGTGTCTACTGCAACAGTTTCACCAGAAAGTGATACAGAGGACAGGGTTTGAAGATGTAGGGCAGCGTTAGCCCACATAAAGACTTATATTCTGAAAGTTTCCATAAATAACTAGCCTATAGAATAGGCTAAAGACCGGGGCTTGTTGTCATGTTTTCTACTATTTTTTTTCTCTGGATGTTTTGAAAGTCAGCTTCTGTATAGGCACGTATGTTAAAGTCTTGTATACATATTAGCTTCTGTACATTAAAGATACAGTTTATTGAAAACAAATGGGCCAATACTGTTCTTTTGAACTTTCTAATCAGCAAAGAACCCTGAAAAAACTCTTTTCAACATCGATACAACATGTTACAACTTGCCCCACTATGACATTTATGAAACTAGCCTTGTTTACCCAACAACTACAGCAAAAATAAGATGGCATTGGATTTGTGCAGATTCATTCATAATGTTTGAATGTTGAATCAGTAAATGCATGCTGTTGAAGTATTTATTGAGAAAACAAGGTTTCAGTCTCTTTCAGTAATTCTCAATAAGCAGTGAGTGGTTGTCTGGGACTGTTGCCAGCAGAATACAGCTAATGTTTTCCATCCAAGTCTGTGCTGCTCTTTATAACCACCTCTTCATTCTAAATAGAATCCATATCTATATGTATCTTGAATGTAAATATCAAATCTAAATGAATGCACCCAATGAATTATTAGTATTTGATCATAAATTCTCGTCATAATCGGTGTATTTCTTCAGAAACTGGATGGCAGAGTCTTGATTGCATCTCATGGCCTCCTGTAAGGCCATTTTTCCCCACCTGCGAACATCAACATGGCACATTAGTCCTGTTGGCTGGTATATACTGTAACATGTGTAGTAATAGTCATATCATACATGACTTTGATAAAGTTACCTGTCCTTGAGTGAGCAGTTTGCCCCTGCGTTCTCCACCAGGAACTTGATGACATCCAGGCGGCCCTCAGAGGCTGCGACGTGCAGCGCTGACCGTCCATCATAATCCACAGCATTCACATCTGCTCCTGACAGAAGGTACCTATAAAAGAGGAATTAACTCTGGTTTCACTGTTTTCAGTATAATTCACCGCGCAGGTTTAGAGGTCATTTATAGACAGATGGAAAACAAACTTAATTCAAATGCTATAGTGACATTTTGGCAATCAAAATCAATTATATTTTGCATAAAGAAAATTATAAATAATTGTCATTTCTGTGATTTTTTTTTGTTTGTTGTAAATTTAAATTAAACAAACATTAAAGGCAGAGCAAGAAATATTACCACAATATCTAAATACTTTACAATATGAATATAATAAAATATATTATTTAATACAAATTATAATTCTCTCTCTCTCTCAGTTCTTATATTATTTCAATGTGTGATTTATTTTTAATTATGATAATATATAATTTTTAATATGATATTTGTATATAATATTTGCATATAATATTTCTAATTGTTAATTTCTAATTTTTAATATAATATTTGTATATACTATTTTGTTAAAAAAAAAAACTTGTGTCTGTATGGACATCCTACCTGCGCAGAGATACTATGTCCCCTCTGTAAGCAGCCAAAAGTACATTCATAATTTTGTATCCCTGTAATTCAAGAAAGAAATATTTATTTACCTCCATATCACGAAAGCATCAAGAATTGTGTGTATATATATATATATAAATAAAATATTAACCAGACCTCTGACTCCACTTTCCACTGTCTGTAACACAAGACCTGTCTGAATGGAGTCCTAATGTCAAAACTGTGCAGCTGGAAGGTTGACACCAGCTCCTTTGACAAAACAGACAATTATTATATAATTTTTTTACTAGGCAGTAAGCTTTAGGTTTGTCAGATTGCTAGCCAGAAGCAGGTGGTACCAGGGGGAGGGGTATTCTTATACTAGAGAGTATATGATTGGACATAAACTTATAATACTGGATAAGTCATTCATCTCTTTGGTCTGATAATGCAAATTTTAAATGTGTGTGTTTTCTAAAAGTTTTTTTTTTAAATTAAAGAGTGCACTAGCCTTTAGATAAACTGAGCTAAGGAACATGGACTAAAAGTCACAAAACTCCAATTTTGATTTCGTACTGAAGTATATTGATCCATTTCCATACCTCACAGAAATGGACACCCCTCCATGAATTTCCATTGCAGTCCAGTCCAGGAGACCAGCACATGAGTCCCAGAACTCCAGGAACCACGGTCAAGACGACACCAGACTTACTGGACTTAGCAGGCACAGATGTCTGCATTGTAGAATGATATTGAAAACAATGATATTATCCAGCCTAAATTATTCTGCTTTAAATCCTCGTGCACATTTCAAACGGGTACATCTGCATTATTATCCAGGAATTAAAGAGACAATAAAGCATTCTGGACTGTGTCCATTAGAGGGCAGTAGGGGAATACATAATTCTTTCAGGCATTGTTAATTCATTACTGACCATTGTTACCATTATTGCTAATTAACGTTGCAGGGTAGAGGCCATTTTAATTAGTTACATGAAAGTGGGAGCAAATTTAATTGCTTCAAAAATCCTGTTAGAGATGTGGGAGTGAATTTAAACTGAAGATTTGCAATAATCCTAAATTATTCTGCTTTACATCCTCCTGCACATTTCAAACGGGTACATCTGCATTATTATCCAGGAATTAAAGAGACAATAAAGCATTCTGAACTGTGTCCATTAGAGGGCAGTAGGGGAATACATAATTCTTTCAGGCATTGTCAATTCATTACTGACCATTGTTACCATTATTGCTAATTAACGTTGCAGGGTAGAGGCCATTTTAATTAGTTACATGAAAGTGGGAGCAAATTTAATTGCTTCAAAAATCCTGTTAGAGATGTGGGAGTGAATTTAAACTGAAGATTTGCGGAACTTAAACACAACTGATGTTAAACCTGCAATATATGATACAAATATGACTCATTATTTACCAGCTTAGTCACAAACTCACCTTGAAATGAAACGTTCTGGAATAATCATTCATTCCAGCCACCTGCATCACAGAAAGCGTGCTGCGGACGGCGTGGGGTGACATCACTTGGTCACCTGACAGGGGGCACAGTCCCCCATTAGCTAGGGTTGCGGCCAGTGCAGCGCCAGACTCGCAGGTGACTTCTGTCGATAAACACTGAGACGTATGCAAAATGAAAATTCAATCATGCATTCTTTCTTATCAAGAATATAACACATAAAGCTGAATACCTGTAACAGTATATCCAGTGTAGAATTGATCCCCACACCTTCTGGAAAGCACTGGAATGGTTTAGTTATGAAAAACAGATGAGTTTAAAAGACCCTTTGTGATGTGGAAACAAAATTGATATTTTAGGGAATTAGCCCAGACTTACTTTCTTCTCTTGTAAGTAAAATGAAAGCGCATGGAGACGGATGATGTCTTTTCGCAGGTTTTGATAACTGCAACGACAGTGACAACAGTTACAATTAACACTAACAAATAAACGCTGAATAGCACAGAAAAAAATCAATTTCTCTTGAAAATACCTGGTGCAGTTTAGGTTTGCATGCTCCTTGTTGCACAGTCTTCTGATGATATTCAAAACCTGTGTGAGAATGGTTTGCTTTAAGATTGCTTTCAAGCCTTATTTTTCATCAAATGTAGCTGGTTAATGTAAAATTTAAGCTTACAGACTCATACTTTTCTTCCTCATCAGTGACTGGTCTGGTTGCCAGCTGTTTTATGACAAAAACGGTCAATAAAACATGCTTTTTTGTTCATTTTTAAACAAGCGACATTGTTACCTGTAATAAAGAAGTGCAGATAATGGCTCCTGTCTCAACCAGCGGACTATGAGGCACACCTGCAAACAAGTTTGCTGTTTTTAAGCACTGCTAAGCCAGATGTTTTTGAACGGAACATCAAACTGTTCTTGAGTGCAGAACTGAACATAAATCAAAGAAATGGAATAAGTGGAATGAACTGACTGAACTTACCTTGCTTGGTCAGGGTAAATGGAGACTCGTATTTGGAATATTCCTCCATCCCTACAAATCTGTGCACATAGTCGGATCCTTGCTGGTCCACCGCTAGACCGTATATGAGAGGCCAAGAAATCTCTCCCAGAATGCAAGGTTCAGGCCAGTCTCCTAAGGAAAGTCTAAAGTCCAAAAAACAACAGCATCTCGTTCAAATTCAACAGGTAAACTGAATTGATAATTTGGAAATAATATTAAATTTGAGTATTAAAAAAAAGAATTACAGTTGTAATTGTAGTACCTTTTTAAAATTTTGTATATAATATAATATAACAATCAATTATAGTGTAACATTCACTTTTAATTATAGCTTTGTTTAAGATAAATTCAAAGAAGTTAAGATCTCAATTACAGTTAAAACAGAAATATTATTGCAATCTAAAAGAACTATTTTGTAATTAATATATTTTAAAATGTAATTTATCCCTGTGATGGCAAAATTGAATTATCATTCTAATATGCTGATTTAGTGCTCAAAAAACATTTCTTACCAAGTTAAGATCTCAATTACAGTTAAAACAGAAATATTATTGCAATCTAAAAGAACTATTTTGTAATTAATATATTTTCAAATGTAATTTATCCCTGTGATGGCAAAATTGAATTATCATTCTAATATGCTGATTTAGTGCTCAAAAAACATTTCTTAAAATTAAGAGGAAATAATATTGAATATATATACATTTTTCTTCTATTTTTGTTGTTATATTTTCTTTTATATATATATTTTTCCTTAACATATCTCGTCATGTTTTCACAAAAGATTTTTTGAGATTAAACAATAATTGCCAGACGTCCCGCAGTGCCACTGTGGACCCCCTAAGGGATGCAAAGACCCCCTGTTGAAGACCTTTTATCAAATCAATTGAATTGAACTGTTGTGTGGTACCTCTGTCCATCCACGGTACAAACTGAAATGCCCCATTTTGTGGCGCTCTCTCTTACATCTTCTTTCTCCTGTTCAGAAATGCACAGGATATGAGTCACATTGTGATATTTGTCATGAAACAATCAATTAGAAAATAACCTGTGCTATTCTTTGCACGTCTTTTTCACTTGACTGTTATATAAAAAGAACAACAACAACAGCAGCGGAAACAGATTTGACGTGCCTTCACAGAGGAGAGTTGTTTGCATTTAATAAACAGCTTTTGTGTTTCCTCTGTGAATGTAGAGAAATCTGGAATGACAAATCTTCCCTGCAATGCCTTCAGGATGAAAGACACAAAGCCAGTCACGCACCTGCAAGATGTTCACAAATGAAGTATATTAGCAGCATAATAGATTAGGCGTGTTTAGTATTTATATTTAAGATGCTTTAAATTTGACTATTGGTATCAAAATTCTGTCTGGCCTGTGAAAAGTGCTCCTGTCAACAGTTCCATCTGCTTCCTGTAATTTCCGCATCAGGCTGTAGCAGTCTTTAATCCGTGGGTCTGTTCGGATGATTCCTGAGCTCCACAGGGCCTGCCAAAATACAGACCGATATGACATCCTGCACTATTGAATATTAGCCCATATTAAAGCAATAGTTCACCCAGTAGTTCAAATTGCTGAAAATGTACTCACCCTCAGGCCATCCAAGATGTAGATGATTTTGTTTCTTCACCAGAACAGATTTAGAGAAATTTAGCATTACATCACTTGCTCACCAAAGGATCCTCTGCAGTGAATGGGTGCCATCAGAATGAGAGTCGAAACAGCTTCTAAAAACATCACATTAATCCACAAGTAATCCACATGACTCCAGTCCATCAATTAACGTCTTGTGAAGTGAAAAGCTGAAAGTTTATTATAAGCATCAAGACAATCAAGACATTTTGCTTCCGGCTAAAATACTATCTATCTATCTATCTATCCATAATATTGCTTTCTCCAGTGAAAAAGTAATCTTGTCTGAATCATGACAGATCAACCCCCATTTACAAGCGAAAATAGTCCAAAACAGTTCTTAACAAATATGTCATTTTTGATGTGAGAGGTCAACAGAGGAGGGATTTTTAAAGCTGGAGAAAGTGCTGTTATGGATTATGAACTCATATTCCGGCCGAAAGCAGTTTAAAGTTAAAATGTCTCTCAGTTGGACACACAGCTTGTCACTTCACAAGACGTTAGTTGATGGACTGGAGTCATGTGGATTACTTGTGGATTATTTTGATGCTTTTATCAGCTGTTTGGACTCTCATTCTGACGGCACCCATTCACTGCAGAGGATCCATTGGTGAACAAGTGATGTAATGCTTACATTTCTCCAAACCTGTTCCGATGAAGAAACAAACTCTGAGGCCTGAGGGTGAGTACATTTTTGGCAAATTTAAATTTTCAGGTGAATTATTTCTTTAAGGATGCTTTCTATGTACCTCAAAAAACTGATTGCAGTTGACTCTTCCCCCAGACGCAAAACTATCAAAGAGCACATCAGCAGCCCTTTTGAAAACAATGTGTAGTGTAAGTCAGTATACATATAGCTAGTAGCTCTTGAAGCAAGTTAAGCGAATGCTGCCTTGTGCATTTGAGACTCACACTTTTTTCTTAAAATGACCTTGATACGTCTCTGGTCGGCCCAAGTGTTGCCATGCTTGGCTGGCTTGGCTGGCATGAAGTTTGTCCTGCTCTGATACTGTCCGTTTTGTGCCTCCATTGCTTATAAAAGATGGCATGCCTAGGGAAAAGAATGGGAATTTCATTAGAGCAGAAAATGAAGACTAGACTAGCATTTCCTGAAGAAAAAAAACATTACTTGCTAGACAACTAAATATTATATATATATATTAGTGCTGTCAAATGATTAATCGCGTCCAAGTTTTTGTTTACATAATATATGTATACTGTGTATATTTATTATGTATATATAAATACACACACATACAGTATAAAATATAATATATAAATATAAATATATAAACATAACATATTTTTCTTAAATATATACATGCATGTGTTTGTATTTATATAAACATAATTAATATACACAGTATACACACACACATATTATGTAAACAAAAACAACTGATTTTTTTTTAAATAACCAATACATTTTTAGTTTTCAGGACTTTTTTTACCAAACTTTGTATAAAGATAATTCTCAACTATGTTAAAACAGAATGATTTGATATACCATTTTTCTTTATGCAAATGCATAAAATGGCCATAAACAGGTTTTCTAATTATATATAATGTATCTATAAACG